ATTAAAAGCTCACAATTTTCATAAAACGTGAGATATCTTTTTTTCAGTAAAGGTCAATACTATCACTCCGTTACGGCTTGACGTTAAGTTCTGGGTCAGCCTGTATATATATATATATAAATAATTTAAAAGCAAATCAATATTATATATTAAAGTTTTGAACGTTAATAGCATCGTGAAAATACTATAACCCATTCAATTAAATGCAAAATGCAATGTGCTTATCGTGCTATGATCAATAAACAAAAATATCAACGATAATAAATTAAAAAGGTTTACTTACACATTAAAACTATTGTTAAAATAATACTGAAACTTTCCTAGAATTTATGGCCCCACAATATTGTTTTTAAAATGTCTTATTGCTAATTTCCTCTCTACAGAATGTTATATTCAAATAACTGTCAATTAAAATAATTGAACATGTAAATAATAAAACTTTAATTATTAAATATAATGATTATTATTATAAAAACATGTTGATATTTCAATATAAATTGATAATATCAAAAATTTTGGAAATAAGGTTAAATTTAAAATTTGAAAAACGCGATTAAAATGTGCTTAGACATAATAATAACGTAGCAAAATATTAAAATGCTTGTGTGCAAGATTTTATTATGTGATAAGCATTACAATTGCTAATTATTCATATGGGGAGTTTATTATGTAAAATATTTAAAAATGCAAAAAATACTATAAAATACTGCGCAATTCGATTAATTACAGGAACTATCTTGTAATTGAAGAATCATCCCCAAAATTAAAATTACTTTAAAACACATCAAAACTTTTTTGAAGAGTGATTTTTCAGACGTTAATTAGAATTTACGGTACACTATTTTTACTACAAAATCAAAATTTCAATATATATTTCATAGGGCATTTATCCATCATAACATATTGAAATCAGTCAGTTATTCGTACAAGTCCTTCGTACACTTTAGATATTTTGCATTCTTGTTATAATGAGATAAATTCAGATAAATATAATTAGGCCAGAGATTAATATTGTTTTTTTACCTTAAAGTTAATTTTAACGATTTTTAATGATTAGTTCATTATGCATTCATAATATCGGAAAATTACTGAATGAGGCAAATTTTAACGCTGTTGTTCGACATGATTAGTTTTTTTCATTAATATAAATCGTAGAGACACTATCGAAATTGGATCTGGATATAAGTCTTTTTGAATACTTGATTATAAATTTCGTTAAAAGTCGTTACAGATAATTGCAATGCTATATGCTTTTACTATTGTCAGTTGCTTGGACCTCCAATTTTACCCAAAACTAGAAAAAAGTTACTTGCAAACAAGTTAATAGGTCGAATTTGTTTGCTCTAATACTCCAATTACCATACAAATATAAATATATATTTAACTTCCTATAGGGTAAGTTATTCAAATTTCCAATGAAGTTATTCAAATCTACAATGAAGACGTTTTCATATCTTCTAAATTTCTGAATTGTTTCAAGACTGATAATTTTTTCGTACATTTGAAAGAATTTGTATGTAGAATGTACAGATGTTGTTGCATGTATAATTTTTTCATGTTTTTCGAAGAATGTATATGCTATATACTAAATGTATATTGATCTTTTTGTATAGTTCCAAATCATTTGATAGTGTGTTTAATACAGCCAAACAAACCAAAGCTCAATTTTTGGTGTACGCTACCAAGTTCAGGAGAAAAATGTTCTTAATACAGTACTTTCAACTCGAATTACTAAAATTTTCGAAAAAAAAATTTAATAATGAAAAAAAAAAGATTTTGTGTATTATATTATACATATAATAATTAAAATTTTTACATTATACATATTATAAAACACAACTCATTCTTATCAATTTATATCCATATTGGATGAAAAGTTCAACCCAAGTGGGTTAATGTCACAGCAACAATAAAAGTCGTATCCTCTTGCATTCGAAATTCTAATAAAAATCTGTATTTACTATATTAATTTTAAATAAATAAAAATAAATTAGAAACAATTGATATAATAATATATAATAAATATAATTCTAGACAGAAATGTAACACTGATTAAAAAACTGTACTATCCCATTCTTGACAAAGTATTATATTAATATTACCTATTAAATTTGAAAATTGCGTTGGGAAACTGACCATGGAACGATTATCATCTTTGCTTATTTAATATACAGAGATAAAAATTTTGTAATATCATTTATTTTAGAATCATCGCACGTGGAAATAAAATACTTACATAAAATACCTATACTACCAAGTACGTCCTTATTGAGATAAAAGTAATAGTAATGTACTATCTATCACAATACATATAGTGATAAAATCTTTGAATAATTTCCTATAATCTTTATCTCATGAGTTTTTTTAATGAATTAAGATTTTGATAAAAAATTGCAACACAAGAATTCATATTTACATATATACATATACATATGTATATATATATATATATATATATATATATATATATATTATAAATTCAGAGCATATTAATGTATGCGATTTATGTGTTATGTAATAAAATATACATATTCTTGACCAGTATTATTAACACCGACATTTTTTAGAATATAATTATGAATCTATACCACAAATGTTACAATGATAAATCAAATATCTTCATTACAAATCACCGACAAATAAACATTTCAATCACAGGTGATCAGAATCTGTAGATACAAAAAACAATTGTTCAATTAGTTGGTTAAAAAAGTATCATAAGTTAAAATATAATATAAAGTATGCATTTTTTTTCAAGATAACGCTAATAAAATATTTATTATTACATTAAATATTATTATGATAAAAGTTTGTTTTCCTGTTGCTCGACGTTTAAAGTCAATCTGAATCTTTTGATACGAAAATTGTAAAATTTATGTGATCCCTAATTTAACCTTTTGTGCTGCTCCGATTTTAAAAGCCATTTGATGAAATTCGATAAGGAATTAATAAGTTGAATAGTTTTGCATCACGATTGTACTAATAATTTCTTTATAATTAGCAGATAAGTGCAAATTTTTTTCGTTAACGTTTTTGTCAAAAAAATTGAATGATTTTGAAAATTTAACAACTTCTTGAAAGGTATCATATCGGAATCGCACTGAATTGTTTTTGGTAAAGAAGAGTTACTTTTTAATTAATTGTTATTTTTTTCTGATCATTATAATGAAATTCTGAATCTATACACTTTTTTAACAAACAAATTTATATATTCTAAGCCTACGTAACATTGTTTAATTATAAAAACTTATTAAAGTTCGAAGGCGCCTTTGAGCACTTACAAAGACACAATCATAAAATGTTCTCATTTACACTTAATGCAAAATGCCAAATGCCTAGTTTTAATATAAATCGATATAATTCCAGTATAGAACGATAATTTGGTATAGAAATTAAATTAAACAAATTTACCATTTTTAAATTCTTTGAAGTTTTAATATATTTGGTACAATTTGTACCTATACTTTTTTTAATTTGAAAATTTGCTTTATTTGACTTAAATACATATATTAATTTCTTACATAAAGATCAGTACCTGTACTAATTTGTATTTGTTGGTACAAATCTGATTGAATTTATATACATTATAAGGCATTAACTTACAAGTTATGCATAATTTTATTACAAGTTAATCAAAAACTATCAACTAATTTAATATTTAATATTAATTCAATTAATATTTTTTTAAATTAATTAAATATTATTATACTTCAATTAACTTCCCGTAGGGTAAGTAATAGTAATCGCAAAAAATCGAAAATGAATTTTTTTATATATCTAACGTTTCAGAAGTTTCTGAATATTTTGGCATACCTTAGAAAAAATGGATGTATGTGTGTGTGTGCGTGTGTGTATGTGTGTTCGGATACAAATTTTCGTCGACGATTTCGGGAACACGGATGAAGCGATTTGAATAATTCAAAAAACATTCGATTCGTATTGTTAAGGAGACGTGATGTGATTAGTTTTTGGCAAAGGCAGGTCCAGTCGTTCCGAAGATATGGGGCAAAAGTGCCAAAAACGGTAAGTCAGTTTTTAAGAGAACGGAGCGTCCGATTTGAGTAATTTAAAAAAACATTTTACTTGTATTAACAAGATGAAGAACTGATCAAATTTTCATGAAGGCAGGTCTAGCGGTTTCGGAGAAGTAAAAAAAAATACCATTTGGCGGTCAAAAATGATCATTAGACATATGCACATCAAATTATCAGAGATTTTAACAATAAGTATAAATTTTGTTTACATTTCTATGGGTTCCGTACCAATGCTCATCCGTTAAACTGCGGCGAGGCGCTTACGCGCTTCGATATTTCGTCTCTATGCAGTTAAAGCAGTACGATTGCTTTGAAAAAAAAGTTCAGAATTTCCAAAATATTTCAAAATACACTTTTCTTCAAAAAGCCTTTTTTTCAAAAAAGTAAATTTTTGTCAAAAATTTATAGTTTCTCAAAAATCTAATTTTTTGGAATAATTTTTTTTTTAAAATGTTAGTCTTTTAAAAAAAAATAATTTTTGGTACGGGAAGTTCCAGCAATTTGCCTTAAGGCAAGATGCCATGCGCCCCACTAGTTTAATATTAATATGCTAATTCTTCAGCATGTCAATTAAAATCATATTATTAAAATATATGGCCCTCTATTACCTTTATACTTGGCAGTTATTGCTATACTGTTAGTTTCTATCATATGTTTTGAGCAAAACGCCAAAAAATGTGAACTTATTAGATCGTCTGAAGATTATTCCATAACATTAAGATAAGAAACATGCAAGTTGAAAACTGAAATAAGCGCTGATAAAAATGTTTATATTTCTTTAAATTTTCCAGCAGATTTTTTTAGTTCCTAATGATAGATTCTAATTTACTTCATTGTCAGTTTGTGGTTTTGATTTAATTTGTGTGTAATGTAGCGTGAAAATCTTTGCCCGGTGCAAATATGAAAAATCATAGAGAATGTGATATGTGATATCATTTTCAAATCAGTTGCTTCTTTGTGCTGCAGGTGACTCGGATCGGACATCTCTCTTGGAAAGAAAATTTCTTCGAGCATTTTGCTTCTAATTCTGGTTTTGCAGTTTGTTTAATTACAAAATGCGTGAAGATAGGAATTTCGGAAAAAGGGGCGAAACAAATTATGGCATAGATCTCGAAGACGAACATTTGAAAGGAACATTGCAGCTGGTCGAAGATGTTCAGAAACAGGAGAGGAATGGAAAGCCAAAGGATTTGGATATCGAGAAAAAAGAATTTTCCATCACACCGTGAGTAAACTTTTATTTTATATTTTTTATACATTATAACTTCGTTCACACGTTTTGTAAGAGACTGGACCTTCTTAAGTGAAAAAGCGTAAAAGCGTTTTAATTTTGGTATTAAATGATACATTTATAAATTACGCGAAAAAAATAAATTAACGGCTGCACAGCTGCGGTAAATCATCCCAAATGAAATAGAAACTTTAATTAGTAAAAAGTATATATTTTTAATTTGCTACTTTATGGACCTCTTAGTATTCAACTTAATGAACATAAGAACAGAAATTTATTAAACCACAAGTTAAAAATCGCAAGTTCCAATATTGAACAAATTGTATCGTACATGAAACATCATTTCTCCATGTTACTGTTATGTATTACATTGTTAAAATGCATTAATGATGTTTAAATTAAATTTCTAGTTATTGTTTCTAGGTATTGTTTTCTTTTCAAAATTGTCATGGGATGCTAATATCAAAAATGCTAAAGAGAGACGAATTCGATTTTGCACTTTGCCAAGGGGTAATATTTCGGGGTGATAATTTAAAAAGTTTGCCGAACGCTAAGAGTAATTATAAATATGATATTTAAAATAATTTTTATTTATTTTGGTTTGACATAAAGATTTTGAAGTATGTATTAGAAATTACCAGATTTCCAATATAATTCAACTTATAACTATAAGACCACTTATTATTATTTTTTTTTATTCAATTTTATTCTGCAGTCTGTATATAGGGCCACTTATGGGCAGTTTTAAAGTTCACTCTTGATGAAGCTATTAAGGGGTTACATGGGTTTCCTCGGACAAAAAACAGCATTTTTTCAATTACGTTTTTTACATATAAAAATGAAATATTTTTATGATTTTTTTTATTTAAAAGATACATCTCTTTAAAAAAAATATTAAAATCGCGGTCATTACGACGCCATTTCCGGCAGTCCCTCGGAAAAAAAAGGCGCCTCCGCGTTGTCAGCAGAACTTCTTTCAGGATCATCCAAAATAAAAATTAAAAATACGTGTTTTAGTAAAGACAATAAACTAGGTATTGGACGACGGAAAAAAGAAAAAAAATGAAAATTGGATATTTGGCAGAAGTTTTTATAAAAAAATGCAAGCTTCGATTAAAATTTCTCGACATTCTTTTTTTTTTAAATAGTTGTAATTAAACAAAAAGAGAATTCTTCGTTCAATACCTTGTAAACGATATCTCGAAGACCTGTGTAAAATTTCATCAAGATCAGTTGAGTAGTTTCTAAGAAATCTTGACAACCGTCTTTGAAAACATAGTTTTGAGATAAATAACGGAATGACAATTGTATTAAGCGTTAGGAATTTATGAAAATATGTTTCAAAGTGCAGTAATTGACGTAATAAGGCGTATTATGCGTGAAATCGTATAAAGCATAATCGTCTTAACGGAATTTTACTGTTTTACTTATGCATTGAAAATAACATAATCAATACATAGGCGAGCTTTTGATTAATTAATTCACGTCATAGTTTAAATATAGAAATTCATTTTGCTTTACTTTATTCTACATAATCTAAAACCCGAATATTATAAATAAGTTTTATCATTTTCTTCCTTTTTATTACCACTCATTTATTTTGTTATTCATCCAAGCATCTTTGGATAAGAGAAAAATATATTTATACCACATTTAAATTTAAAACATATTTCGATGAATAAATATATTTTCTGTTAGTATTTTCAAAATATTTATTTTTCAACATTACGTGTTTATATATTTTCAATAAAGGAGATTGTGAAACAATTGATTTTGCACTGAGAATCAATATTTAATATACTCAAAGAAATTGTCGCAGATGTGCTTTTCCATTGAATTTATTACGTAGAGAATATAATAACGTAAATCATTTTATAGGTTCAACGACAAATACTTTTATTATTTGTACAGCTTGATAATGCATAATTTATGCAATTTTCTGTTTAATAAAAGTGCGTTTGAATACGTACTGCAGTAATAAGGTAAATAAAAAACTAATACGTTATTGTAGCTGTACAAATATTATAAAATTTACGTTAACATAAATAAAACACAATTATGATTTTGAATAATCTCAATAAAACTAAAATTGTTAATCATAAATTATAGGAAAATTAATATCATATATTAATACTAATTAATAATTAGTATTTTTACCAGCAAGTCTTATCGTTGTAAGCAAATTTAAGGCGGTATATATTATGAGTACCATAAAATTATATTATTTTGCTCTTTGCTATTGTATATATATACAATAAGTGTGATAAAGTACTATTAATAAATTCAAAAATGTGTCAAAGTACTATTAATAAATTCAAAAATTGGGTAGGGCGGGGCATAAAGATTCAGTTTGACTTTGAGCAAAAATATTGTGGAAACCAAACCAACAAATACCACATATCAACCAAACAACTATCTGACTATGTTCAGTAAAACTCCGAGCTAATTTATTATTGTAGAGATGAGTTTTTTGCTCTTTTTTTTAATTTGTCACCTGTTTTTTTACCCCATAGGAGGGATAAAAAAGGACGACCAGGAGACAAACAGGTCTTATTCTTATTTTTAATTTTGAAGGGATTTTACGAAATAATAGCTACAATATTCAACCAATGCAAAATATAAATTTCATAGGCACATTTTTTACAAACATTACGTTGTGAATAACCTTGATCTGGTATTTCCTCAGAAATATTCATTAGCACTGTTGGAATAACTATTTATTTACTTTATCTCTTGTAACATTGCTTTTTCAACTTAATTTACTTTTTTATTTACTATTTTTATTGTGTACACCTTTACCAGGGTAAGGATTCAGTTGGTCCTTTTTACAGTTAAATAACGTATACTTAAAAATTCTATTATATTGAGGTCTCATAAACTAAACAACGGCGCTACAATACAACTAACAACGAAAGAAACTTCTTTTGTTATGGATTTTTAAATATTGCCGTTTATTTCCCTATAGCAACGTCGTAAGAATCAAAGTTGGTTATACATCTTTTGCTCTCAACTTTCAAATATTTTCATTAAAAATTATTAACTTTACTTGTTTTTGAGATATAGGTGGTAGATTTTTCACCTGCGGATCTTTAAGCCCCTCTCTACCCTATATAGTTAGATTTTGGTTTAGGTTTACAGCTTTTAAAAATATTTGACTATTAATTTAAGAGACCTTTTATGAAGTTTATTTTAATCAACTCTTATCAACCAAATGAAACGGAGACCAACTTTTTATTTGGTTTCGTATGAATAATTTGAAAGATGATTTTGAATTATTTCTAAATTTAATAGTTTTCTTAATTATCAAAATTGACAAGTGCTTCAATTTTCAAGTGCTTTTAAAACAGGTAATCAAACTATTCACGTACAATCATTACAGAGATAATGATCATGATTCACAATAAACTGCAAACTTAGATGTTGGAATTTCCTTCTGAAAACTGATCTAATATTAGATCAAGATACAAAAATTCCATTTGCTATCTTGTTTTTCGCATCTTCAATAAATAATTATTAGTTTTTACATTATTAGTTTTGATAGTTTTTATACTATGATTTCGAAGTAATGATATTCCAGCGTTATCATTGTTTGGCTTACAGAACAAATCTTAAAACAATTATGTGAGAGGAGTTAAGTTTTTCTTTTAAATCAAGGATGAAATGTTAATCGGGACTGTGTAAAAATTTCTTAAGATTTTTTTAACTTCCCGAAGGAGAAGTTTATGTTTTTATCAAAAAATCCGAATTGCTAATTTATGAATTTTTTGAAGTCCAATTTAATGTGATATTTTTCTCGCCTCAATCAATGGAAATCTTACTCGATATCAGTAAAATTAGTTTTATAGTTATGTTTATACAAAAACTTCTGGATATAAAATAGGATGTAAACAAGTTCGGGTTTTAACCCGCTATATTTTTAAATAAATTGCTCGGATAGTTTTTTAAATTTATTTATTAGTTTTCAAATAACAAGCAAGAATGCCAAATTGATAGATATCAATTGTCAATTTGATAAAAAGGTAAATAATGCTGTTTAGTTTTGAATCGCCATATGCATTCTATAAAATACTTGAATTTATAGTTAGTATCATGCTGTTTTTGTTTATTATTTTGCGAAAATGTAATATAAAAGTTTGCTAAACACTTATTTCTTGTTTGAATAAAAGAAACAAAGATGTAATGATTTGCACTTTAGGTATTTTCTGGCAATGTTTATGTATAAAATAATTTACATTAACCAACCAGTTTTTGCCTTTTTTATAGATGGCTGTAAAATTCTATAATATGCGCTCTCAATAGTGTTTTCCAAATATTACTTATTTTTGTAATTACCTAAAATTCAATTATTGATTCTAAAGGGAATTATATTTGAAACTAGCTTGAAGTCAAGTTCTTTTTTATTTCTATCCGCATCAAAAAATTAAAATATTCTAATATTATTACAAAGCAAAATTATGATTTTTATTTTTATTTATTTATAGAAATTTTTATGATATTTATTTTTATGATTTTTCTTTCATTTATAGAAATTAAAACAATTTCAAATTGTATTTAAAATGATTTATTTATATCAAACTATAAAAATAATGTTACAATAATTCTTATTTTCAGACCGTTCCTACTCGGAAAAAAATCCAAGAAAGTTCGTGACCAAGGTGAAAAAAACGTCTCTTTCCTAGAATTGGTAAGTGATTATTTATTAGAATTTTATACATATATATATATATATATATATATATATATATATATATATATATATATGATTTAGTAGTTAATTTTGATGTTGAAATACATGAGTGAGTTCTTGAGGGCGATACATCAAGATTTGATGTATCGCCCTCAAGAACTCACTCATATATATATATATATATATATATATATATATATATTATTAATTTATACATATATTATCAAACTGAAAGCTTTTAACTGATTACTAAAGAACTAGTCATTGTAAATTGTACATTATTGAATTTAAATTGAGTTTATCTATCTCTGTATCTATCTATCTATCTGAAGAACCAAGAAAGATAATTTTTTTTGAAACGAATGGAAAAGTGGACTGAGTCCCTTTTGAAACATCTTAAAGAAAATATAGTTATTACAAACAAATTTTAGTTTTTTAGCATATTTGCTATAACTATTTTATACTTAAAACTTAGAAAACAAAAAAAATGAAATAACTAAAACATATATTAATATAAATAATAATATAAATTAATATAATATATCCGCGTTGAAATTTATATGTTATAAGTAAAATTTATGCAATTTTATAAGTAAAAGTGATACATGATGCGCGCGAAATTTGAAGTTAGGACTTGAAAGATACTTTAAACTTAGTTTAATATTTATAAACATATTAAATTAATTCATTTTTTAAATCATAACTTAAAAAAAATCCTCTCAATAAAACTCAATAAACGTCATAACTGCAAATTTAAAATGCTTTAACAAATTATTTAACTCCTTTTAATTTTAATTATTTATTTACTATTTTCATATGAACTTCCAGCGGTAAATAATTTCCAGGCATAGAATTAGTAATTTGAAATTTACGTCTTTAGATTTGTGGTCTCAATTCATATCATGGGTATTTTTTTATTCTGATCACGTGCGATGGCTTTATTTTTTATGATAAATTTGATATTAATTATAAAGTTCGATTAATTAACATTGATTATTAGTGGTTTCACATGGAAGAATACTGAATGAAAAAATACGTAACTCAAACAATAAGACAATTACTTAGTCAGTAGTATTTCTCGAAGGATAAAAAATAGATTCGTCATGAAAATGATTGTTATCAGAGCCGTCCAGTCTGATTAGTCTCCATTCATGTTTAATGAAATATGCTAATCTATCGATATTTCAGTAATTGTAAACCTTTTCTCTTTTAAGATATTTAGATATTTCATTCTAAGTTAAATTTTCATAGTTTATTGTTGAAACAAATAGATGATAGATTATCTTTCCTTGATTACTCATTAACATTCGTCTATTATTTTAATTATTCATATTATCTGCTAAATCGAAACAATTGTTTATAGCAATAATACATGTTAATTTTCGTAACGTTTGTACGGTGTATATTTGAAAGGCAGTTTTGAATATTTTTTATTCATTATATTTATTTATATTCGTTTATATTAATTCAGGTGTAGACTCATTGCAGTAAAAAATTAACGGTAATTTAAACCTAACACTAAATTAAGTCTAAAATTAAAATTTTAGACTTTAACAATTGATAATAATTTGAACAAAAAAAATATCGCAAATTCTGATGAATTATAATAATATAAAGGATTTGAAATTGATTGATGTTTGAGGTTCTTCTGAAAGTAAGAGATGATTTAAATGCCTCCTTTGAAAATTTTTAAATCTGCTATCTAAAAAATAACGAATAAACCCAGTATCAAATGAGATTGAAGTATGAAAATAATTGTAATGATGTGAAACTTAAATTTGTCGTTGTTAAGAAAAAATTTCTTGAATAATTTTAATTCGATTTTTATTTTCTTATCATATTAAACCTTTATTCCGAAAAATTAAAAAGAAGCGCCATATAAAAAAAGAATAAAGTATGAAAATAATTGTGTTGACATGAAACTTAATTTATCCTTATTAAATGAGAATTGTTTAGATAATTTTATAAAAGAAAATCGGAAAGATTGAAAAAATGGGAAGTATTGATAGATCTTTATTAAAATATAGTTTGATAGTCCAAAATTGGCATTAAAAAATATGGTGAATAATTGGGACTTCAAAAATTCTAGAAAACATTGTCTACCAAATTAATATAGCATTATTCATTTTATTTAAAAAAAACCTAATAATGATCTCGTGGTTAATTAATTCATTTTCGTGACATATTATTTCCAAGGTTATTAGAAATAATAGGATATACTTTATAAATGAATAATTATAATTATTCATTTCGCTAAAATATATTACAAATTAATAATTTGTAAAAGGAAATTGGAAAATTACATGCATATAAGCTTTAATTATGTATAATCTTTGCTTACATTATTATTTAAATTAACATATATCTAATTTGAATGTGAAAAAAGAATAATCTTTTATTTATTATAGCCTTTATTTTATTAAATTTGTCAAAAATTGTTGACAGGTGATAAAAAAGGTAAATAAACTAATTGATCCATTTTAAATTGATTAAAAAATATACATTTTATCTAATGATATATTTATATTATGAAACTTGGCATTATGAAACAATATCTCATTTGTATTCATAGAACTGCACGCAATCACAAAATTACTTCAATAATAATTAAAAGCAGAAGTTAAATTAACATTTTATTTAATATTTTATATATATATATATATATATATATATATATATACAGTATTGAATGGTAGAGTCTTGGATTTGTGTATATTTTGTAGAGTTTCGAACAAGAATCCAAAAATAATACAAAATAAAAAACAAGAAAAGTTTTTAAAAAAACAATTTCTTTATTTAATTATTTGTTTATTGTCGACGTTTCGGAACTAGGTACGTTCCATCTTCAGGACATCTGTCAAGAAACATGATCTTGATGAGATTTTAGCAAACAATATGTTTAGGAAAAGAAAATAGATTTTTCTTAAATAATGAATTAATTGTAAAAAAAATATAATAATGTACAGAAATATGATATGTTCAAAATGAAAATGATAAAAATGATAAAAATAAATGAGTGGATTATCAGAACAGGATATTACACATAATAGAAAATTTTTTGAAAGTTATGGAAATTTTTTAAGAAAAGGTTAATGACAAAGTTGAATTAATTACCTGTATGTTTGAATATTTGTTAGCACTTTTTCACTAAACAAGCTTTTTTAACAAAAATGAATTTGTGAGTTAATTTTCCGCTGAATAATTAGATTTTGTAAATCAAAATTACTAAAAGATTTGTCTTTTTTAAAATTATTATTTGAAAACACAAATAATATTGTTCTCTGGATGTTGTTCGATTGGCTTTTGAAAATTAACTAATTGAAACACTCTATAGAAAACGCCCATTCATTTAATTTCACTCCAAAGATTTTATATCATGAAAGTTGCATCTTTAGAAGGTTATTCGCGGAGAGTTGTCTCATTCTCATAAATGTTTCTAACAGTGTCAACATTAGATCAGATCACAACCTATTACATGATTCATATTTAAATTTTTTACACTTTTTGACAAACAATTAATATCGACTTCCTTTTAAGATCAACAATTTAAGTATTCACACCCTGAACATATAAAAACACACACATACAATCTCACATCTCTCGTTCAAGTGTTTACACGTGTTACAAAGGACACACCAGTTTCAATTAGTTAATTTTCAAAAGCCAATCGAACAACATCCAGAGAACAATATTATTTGTGTTTTCAAATAATAATTTTAAAAAAGACAAATCTTTTAGTAATTTTGATTTACAAAATCTAATTATTCGGCGGAAAATTAACTCACAAATTCATTTTTGTTAAAAAAGCTTGTTTAGTGAAAAAGTGCTAACAAATATTCAAACATACAGGTAATTAATTCAACTTTGTCATTAACCTTTTCTTAAAAAATTTCTATAACTTTCAAAAAATTTTCTATTATGTGTAATATCCTGTTCTGATAATCCACTCATTTATTTTTATCATTTTTACCCAGTAAACCACAAAACGTAACAAAGCCATGAACGTTACGTAACGCTGCCACGTTCGCACGAAGCAGGTACGTAACCTGGGAGGCACACAGAAGTATCTATTTCGCGGGCATGAACGTAACGGCTGTTTCGTTGCACACTAAAACACTGCGGTTGCATTTTTGCTACGTATCAAAGTTGAATAAAAAAGCGTGTAGGTGTCTTTTATGTTACATAATTATTTAATTAAATTTCCTGCAAATATAAAATCAATTTCGGATATTTAGTAATTTTATTAAATATCATTTATATACAAAATTTACATATTACATAGTTGCAACATTGGAAAACTAAAATTTGATAGTCCATAAAATGTTAACCTATAAAAATAAATATTTATTTATTCATAAAATGTATTATGTTTAACTCTCTTGGCAACTTCAGTTAAATCAGACTTGGCAAAGTTAAGTCTTGCGTTAAATATGCTCAACTCACTTGCATCTGTTAATGTATCTGAAATAGAACGAAACATCTTAGTAACATTGTAAACAAATTTTTAATTGAAAATATTGTGAACAAATTAGTCATTTGTGAACATTACCTCTAAACATACTCCTTATTTGAAGTTGATGACTATGTAGTTCTTACAATCATATGACAGAGATAATTATTCGATGAACACACTTAATAATTTTCTTGCATTGATTTTATCCTCTTAATTTTTAAGACGTGAATTTTCTAAAAGTAAAACATTACATATTAGTACTAAATCATATTAGTTAAAATTCTCTTCATGTAGAACCTTAATATACCAATTCTGTAACACAAGATCATCAGACTCGAAATACTCAACAATTCATGTTCTCTTCAACACTTAATCCATATAATGTGTGATATCCGGTGTATTCTTTGTTTTCCTTCTCGCATGCTTTTAAGTCTTGCTTGTTTCTTTGGTGACAATTTATCTTCTTGATTAGAGCAAATTTCCCTAGTTTGAAATCCATTTTGACATAACCCATAAGGGTTATGAGCAGTCTTTCTCTACAATT